AAGGGGCAAAGGAGTAACTGCTAATGAGTACAGGGTTTCTTTCTGGGGTGATAAAAATGTTTGATTTTCACAACTCTATGAATATACTAAAAATCAATGACTTGGACATTTTAAATGGGTGAATTATATGATATATAGTTATATCTCAATAAAGCTGGTTTGCTTTAAGTTAAAGAGTCTTGCTATGTTGCCCAGGCTGAAGTGCAGTGGCTACTCACAGGCACAATCATTGTACACTACAGCCTCAAATTCCGGGGCTCAAAGAATCCTCCCGTCTCAGCCTTCCAAGTACCTGGAACTATAGGTGTGCACCACCACACAGTTAAGGCTATTTTAAAAATGTACATATTAATATACAATAGTCTATCAAGACTGCTACAAAAACAATTTGTCTCATTTTCTAATTTCTAGAAAAGCTTATACTACTACATATTTCTTTTTTTTTTTTTTAGATCTTTGGGTTTTTGTTTTTTTATTTCAGCATATTATGGGGTACAAATGTTAAGGTTACGTATATCGCCCATTTCCCTCCTCCCACCCACCCGACACCCGATAAATGTCATTCCTATATGTCCACTAAAGTGTTGATTCGTTAATACCAATTTGCTAGTGAGTACATGTGGTGCTTGTTTTTCCATTCTTGAGCTACATCACTTAGTAGAATGGGTTCCAGCTCTATCCAGGAAAATACAAGAGGTGCTATATCACCATTGTTTCTTAAAGCTGAATAGTACTCCATGGTATACATATACCATATTTTATTAATCCACTCACATATTGATGGGCACCTGGGTTGTTTCTACACCTTTGTGATTATGAACTTATTTCTTGAAGCTACGTTGTTAGATAACAGATTGCTCAGAGCAATTATATTTTTTGGGACATCATATTAATATGAAAAATCCTCCTTTGACCTATGAAATGCATTTTGCCTTACATTCTATTTTGTCTAATATTGCTATGACTATCATTTTCATTTATATGGAATATTTTTTCCAAATGTTTAATATCAAGGTTGCTTTTTTCTTTAGATGTGACTCTTATACATATACAGCTTAGTGCTGTATTTTTATCTTAAAAGTCTGAAACTCTATCGATAGGGGAATTTAACATATTCACCTTTACCTATTACCTATTCCTATTTCCTTATATTTTATTGTTTATTTACTAACATTTTCTTATTTTCTTTTCTTTGCCTTTGGTTGAAATGATAAATTTTTTATATTTTACTCTCACGATTTATATTCAACACCTTATTTGTGGTTATTCTTCATATATTTCAGATTACATTTTAAAATCAAATTCTAGAGTTAATCTATATCTGAATCTTTTTCCTGAAAAAGAATTCTAATACTTTATCACTTAGTTTTCTTCTATTTTCCATGTTGAGTCAATCAGATCAAAATTTAAATATTTAAAGACTAACACTGTAGGTTTTTTAAAAAACTATTAGACTCAACTATATATTTTACTGTGTTTGTATCTTTTGGTAAAGTTCACTGCTGTTTCCCATGTCATGTCTTTTCCTTCTTTGGACACTTTCCCACGCTTTTTGGAAAGGAGTACTTCCATAAGTTCTTTCAAGGAAGGTCTGGATCGATCAAAGAAGGTGAATCATTGCTTCAAAAATATTTTTATTTTCCTCTCGCATTAAATTGATGATTTTCCTGAATATAGAATTACATTGTATATTTGATTTCAATCCACCCCATTATGTCTCTTATCTCTCTGTGAATATTACTTTTATTTATTTTAAAGTCTCTGTTCAAAATCTTTTTCCCATAACTTCAAAACTACTCCGTTTCTATCTTCTATTTTTTTTTTTTTTTAACAATAATAGTACTGATGACAATCTGATTCTTTTCTTTGTGGAGATACACTATGTTTGCTCTCTGGATGCTTTTAGTCAATTACTCTTTATCACTGGTATTCTGAATTTCTGAAGTAGGCACTTGAGTGTAGGCTTTTTGTTATTCTTTTATTCAGCACTTATTAGGTGTTTTTAGAAGATTTATCTGTCTTCAGTTTGGGAAAATGTCCTCCTATTATTTCTATGATTATCATTCTCCTCCATTCTTTCTATTTGAATTTTATATTACTATTAGATAGACGTTGAAACTCTAGAATGTCTTCTACATCACGTTACTTTTTGTTCATACTTTCTACCTTTTTCAGTTCAAAACTATATTCTGAAGAATCTCTTAGCTCAATTTTCCAATTCATTAATTTGCTTTTAAATGTGTCCATTCTATTTAGCCCATTTATGCATTTTTATCTTGACAATCATATTTTTAAATTCTAAGATATTTGATTGTTGATTTCATTCTTTCTTATCTTTGCTCTATAAATGCAATAACCTCCCTTATGCCTCTGTGAATATTACTTTTACTTATTTCAGAGTCTCTGTTGCCTATTCATTGTTTCATTGGGTGTTATTTTTTGTTTATTAAATTTGATATCTCATTTTTCTATTACAGGTTTTCCTCAAATGTTCAATGATTCTTGGTAGTGAGATCATTTCAGATTGCCTATTTGTCTGTCTATGTATGCTGTTTCTTTTTACTACTGCTGCCACCAGGTATAATGTGGGAAATGTGGGACATGCCAGGTGTCATATATATCATAAGAGTTTGTTTTCTCAGGACAAGGCTCCTTGAACTTCCTGACAATCCAATCAAGGCCTCTTGATGTATCTCCCAGCTTCTCCAACCTGTGTTAAGCTCAGTGCTCTAGCTTGAATTCAGAGTCTATTGAGGAAGGTAGTTACTATAGGCCTAGCTACTCTATACACATCTCCTTATCTAGTACTACAGGCCCTCTCCTCGCTATTTGAATCTGACTAGCTTGGAACCATCTGCAACTGCACCTACCTTGAAAACCTACTGATGCACATTGATCTGTATATGTTTTGAGCTGTGATTCCACCAGGTTTTATTTCTCCAAGGATATGATTCCTCATGCTTAATATCTTTCAGGAATTCCTGAAATTTCCATCCACCAATGGGACCCTTTCTTGTTTTCCCAGTGTATTATCAATTTATTCATATAAATATGTATATATATAGGTACAGATACACACGTCCACATTTTCTGTCATCTCATGGAACTTAGATTTGTGGCTATGCCAATGGTGGTGGTATTGTGGATAAAGAATATCATGAGCTCAGCCATCTTGATCACTTTTTCAATTTCATTATTTGCTCAACAGTGTGTACCAATGTTAACATGGCTATTTCTTTTAAGTTCAGACTTGTACTATATATCCAACTCCTATTTGACATTTTTCCTTGAATTTCTTACAGGTATCTCAAACTTAATTCAGTCCAAAACTGAATTACTGGTCTTAACCCACCAAATGTGCTCTATTCAGGCATCATCCACATATTAGAACACTGGGGCAAATTCTTTATTCCTTTTCCCTCACTTATCACCAAGCAGTCCTTACAAAATAAACTTAATTTCTTTCCATCTTTACTGCCATTAACTTTGTTCGAGCATCATCTCTCACCTGGGCTAGTGTTAAGAGCCTCCTAATTGGTCTCAATGCTTCTCTTCTTTCCCTTTAATTCATTCTTCCCAGAAAGCTGGAGACAATGTTTACGATCATGTCATATCCTTGCTTAAAACTTCTCTTACTTCTGTTGGAATAAATTTCAAACTTTTTCACATTAAATGCTATCTCTGAATCCCAATATGGAGGTTATTTCTCTGAGATTTACTTAAAGACCTCTTTGATGCCAATAGCTTATTAGCTTGCTTGGGTTCCATAAATTTGAAATATTTCTCTTTTCTTTATTCCATTACCTTGCTGAGATGCCCCATAACTTCATCTTGAATTAATACAACTAAAATTCCTCCCCACTACAATGCCTATACCACAAAACTATTTAAGTTGTACTCTTTAGGTACCAGGCATTTCTATCTACTTGTAGCTAGATCAGTCCCTTTAGGAACTATCTCTGTCAAATGAACAAGTCCAGTTAAAGGTTTGAATGCCTCAGGCCACTTGCTATAAAATGAGAATACTCCCAGTTGAGTCTCAATCTGAGTTTTGCCATTATGTGATCTGAGGCTAATCTGAGTTTTGCCACTATGTGATCCTGGGTAAAAATCCTAACCACTCTAGGACACAACCTCTTTTTCTGTCAAATGATGGTATATATTTGTAAGATTTCTAAAGTCTCTTCCATCTATTGTAGTCACAGATTCCATGACCTAAAATAATCTTTCTTTACAAAAAGTACTGTATGGTATCTATCGCTAAAATCTCATAAAAATTATATAGAAGGTAATACTCTATTTCAGGTTTAAGAAGGGTTTTTATCAAGTGGAAAAAATTTTGACCTGAGCCTTCTGGAGACAACTTAAGCCCCACATACCATTCTGCTATTACCAGAAATTCACTCTGCCAAGATCTAGTGCTGTCTTCAATTGCCCAATGAAGACATACAATCTCAAGAATTAAACATGCAGTAACAACAAAACAAGTACTACTATTATAATTACTACTACACAGTGACATTTGGAAGGTTAGACTATTGTGGGTAATGACTAAATCTAACTATAATAGTCAAATAGGAATGGAAAACATAGGGAAAAAATAAGGCACTGGAGGTACCAAAGGCTTCTTCCTGAAAGGTCGATAAAGATCAATTGTTCATACTGGTTTATACAAAGAGCTAACACATCCCCCTTGCTCCATACTGTCTTCATTTTTATAATAATGTTAAAAGGAGAGGCTCTCCAAATTAAGTTACTAGTTTTATCTAATGTTTTAATAATCTTTAAATCTGACTATAGTTAATTCTAAGTCGTGATCAAAATCATTAAAATGAGGGAAAAAAAATTCTCTCCTTCTCTAATAACGCCTAACTACCTTCCCACAAACTGTACAACCTTGAAAATGGGAATCTACTCCCAATGACAATTACTATGCCAGGTTTGAGTACTGTTCTTTGTGTTGATGGATTTCATAAATTAAACGATCCACATTGTTTTACCTGATACATTCCAACTCCAATGTGCTTCGGCTCAATTTTCACTAGCTCAGCTAATGGATCTTGTACACGTCTTGCTATGGAAACTGAAAAAACAGAATCAGAAAACAAGTATGACTTAATGTGAAAAGCAGTACCCAGATAATTACTTATGTTAGTTCCTCATAATCTAAGTACTTAATCCTTACCGCTCCTCCAAAAGACAAAAAATTTAACTAAGTTTCAAAGTTCCCTTTTTTTTCCCAACCAAAAAGTAAATGCAAAATTTCAGAATTAATTATGTCATCAGAACTCCTAGGCATTCTTGACCACAAATAGATTGAAGGGATTATAGATTTGAAAAGACAAAGTATTTAGTTCCTATACTTGCATGATTATCTGTTCATTCTTTAAATAAAGCAAAATAGGATACATTGGGCTTTAAAGTACAAGTAAATATTTGTTCTACTTTTAAATAATTCTGATTATAAATAAGACATATTTATGTCAAATATGCTTACTGGACTAGATTCTGAAAATAATGAATAAATGATGGAATCATATCTTAATGCCAACAGATACCAAGTCATTTAGAAAGGGATACACTTATCTGGCTTTGAATACGAATGCAAGATTGACTTGGGAATTGATTTTCTTGAATCCCAACTGCTTGTCTCTTAACATACCACACAGTTCTAATCAAGAATGAGTTATTTAGTAGATAGCAATAATGCAGAGCTCTAGGTTGAGAATGATCAGGCTGACAACAGATTTTTCAAAGTAAGAGATAGAGAGGTAGCTCAGGAGAAAGGAGTCTAACGTATTGCTGATAAAAAGAATTAAGAGAGAGGAAGAGTTGTTGCCCTGAATTTGGGGACCATTTACATTTTAAGACAGAGGAAAAAAAGGAGAAAACAGTGAAAGAGGCAGAGAATGAATGATGAGCATAGTAATAGAAGCCAAAAAGAGTTCTGGAAATATTAAATATAGTTACCACATGCCCCCAATTTTTTACTTCTAGGTATAAACTCAAAAGAAATGGAAACATATGTCCACATAAAATCTTATAAATGAATTTTCATAGAAGCATTATTCATAATAGCTAAAAATATAAAAACAACCAAAATATCCATCAACTGAAGAATAGATAAACAAAATGTGGTATACCCATACAGTAGAATGTTATGTGGCAATAAAAAGATAGTACTGATACATGCTACAACATGGATACCTTGAAAACATTATTCTAAGAGAAAGAAGACAGTCACAAAAGACCACATGTTTTATGATTTCATTTATATGAAATGTCCAGAACAGACAAATCCATATATATAAAAAGTAGATTAGTGTTTGCCAGGAGTGGTGAATGAGGAAAGTACTGGAAGTGATTGCTAATGGGTATGGGGTTTCCTTTGGTGGTAAAGATGTTTTAAAATTAGATTGTAGTGATGGTTATATAACTCTGATTATATTAAAACATATTGACTTGTACATATTAAAAGGGTAAATTTTATGCTATGAAATTACATTATATTATATCTCAATGAAGGTATTATATACTTTTTAAATGCAGTATGTCCAAATGTGTGCCAAATACTATTTTACCCACATATGACACCAATACCTTGCTGTACCACTGCCACTATTCATCATTGTTCAGAAAACTCTAGTCAATGTAATTTGATAAAAAGATACAAATATTGAAATGACACACACTAGATTATTATTGTTATTATTTGCAGATGATGATTATCTACCTGGAAAACCCAAGCAAGTCCAATGAAAAAATACCAGAACTAATAAGATTCCAATTAGTTGGCTGCTTTGAAGACACACAGGTAAGAACTGATGCTCTATCATATGCCATCAACAACCAATAACATAGAGGTGGGGGAGTATAGCAAATGGGGAGATGTTAGTCAAAGAGCATAAACTGGCAGTTATAAGATTAATAAATTCTGAAGACCTAATGTACAATATGATGAAATTAAAATATAAAAAATTTAAAAGGCATTGAGGAAAATCCATTCAAAATATAATTATATATATGTATATATATATATATGTATATATATATACACACATAATCCATGAATAATAAAAATAAAATGTGCAGAACTGGGATAGAAGTATAAATTTAAAAGAATTTCACTCTATATATTACAGACTTTTAAAAGTACAGTCGTCCCTCAGTATCAGCTGGGGATTAGTTCTAGGACCCCCATGGACACCCAAATTTGTAGATGCTTAAGTCCCTTATATAAAATGGAGTAGTATTTGCACAGAACCTATGCACATCCTTTCAGATACTTTAAATCATCTCTACATTCCTTACAATACCTAACATGATATAAATGCTACATAACTAGTTGTTTTACTGTATTATTTTTAATTTGTATTATTTTTTTTCCCAAATATTTTTGATCTGCAGTTGGTTGAATCTGTGGAAGTGAAACTGGATATAAAGGGTCAACCGTAATGGCTCTAAAGTTTATTTGGAAAAAAACAGATAAGAAAAATGCAATTTGAAAAAATTAAAGCAAGTCATATCATAAACCACAGAAACTGAAAGTCTTGCATTATGGTAAACTAGACATACCAATAAAAAGAGGACATAAAGTATATATAGAGATCTTAATTTTAATAAATGATAATTTATTAAATGGTAATATAGCTCAATGTGTAAGTGAAAACAATTAATATGGGATACTAAAACAAAAAAGTATGTATTGGATATAAAAATTGTGTTAGAAACACCAAAAGTGGGGAAGGGAGCCCAGATTGAGTGAAGATTATCACCTTGAAAGGCAAGCAAGCAGAGCTACTTCATATGGTTCAGTTGTACAGTGTACCACCTCTATGCCCATATGCAGTAGCCTTGAAAGCAACACTTAACCATAACATGTATCATATCCAGGGGATAAAAAGGGCTCATGAGCTTTGGCCTTTAAGTTCTATGAAATGTCTAGAATCTTAAAGCTTGCAGAGTAAATCAACTTTGGCTTTAAAGACTATACTAAATGGTACTCTCTTTAAAATTTGTCTTAATTTGTTATCTAACAATATCGAAGTAGAGATTTTTATGTTTAAAGTCTAATACTCATCTCATTTTACCCTTCCAACCTTGCCATCAGGCAGGAACAGAGGAAAATAAGTAAAATTTCCTCTATGCTATCTTTTTCATTCAACAACTTCAAATTAGAATTTTTTTCACTACAAAGCACATTAAAATATAGTTTTAATAGTCTAGATGCAAATCTGTTATAATCTTGACCTGCTAATTAATAATTACATTTTTGAACAAGAAGCTGAGAAACATGTCAACCTGATAAAAAACATTTTGTATCTTGGCTATGATAAAGATGGTTGGGATTACCCAACTCGTATAAGTTTTCCAAAATTCAGATAGAGTACTTAAAAAGGGTGAATTTTACTTTATATCAATATATCTCTAAATATATGAAATATTTTCTATTTCTCAGAGAATGTTAAACTTTTATTTTTCTCCTGTCTGTATAGTCTCTATCTCCCCCAAGTAGCTTTTTTACCCACAGTGTATTTTGGCATCTGTCTTTAATAGTGTAAGTTTTCACTATGTGTTAGGTGACCCCTGACTGTCCACCAGGGACAGGGTACTAAAAGGCTGACTGTAAGTGCTTTGTTTGCCCAATGGTAAGTCTTGTCAACTGTGGCTTCTCTGTGGGTGCTCCAGCCATTTCTTTGTGGAACCTCTGATCTCAGTTTCTTTATGTGTTGTCTCTCGTGTTAGTCCCTAATATGCACAGAAGGTTTATTCTTCTCTAAGGTCTCTATGACAGCATATATATATTTACTTAATCCCCTTTTATTTCAGTAGGTATCTCTACTCCTCTTTATAACCTGTGTACTCCATTGTAGAAACCTTCTATTTAACCCTCTCCAGAGAGCAAATCTCCAGTCTTCTGCAAAGGTAGAAAAAGGACAATTACTCACCTGTGGAAGGGGAGTTCTCATTGTTATTATTGTTATTATATTGAGGTGAAATTTATACATAGCAATAACTATCTCAAAGTGTAGAAATCAGTGCTACTTAATGTACTTACAATGTTGTGCCACCACCACTTCTATCAAGTTTCAAAATATTTTCATTATGCCAAAAGAAAACCCTGTACCTATTTGGTCACTAGCTATTCCCATCTCCCCAGTACTTGACAACCAACAGTCAGCTTCCTATCTCTACAGATTTATCTATTATGAACACTTCATATGAATGTAATAATACAATATGTGGTCTTTTGGGATTGGCTTCTTTCACTGAGCATAATGTTTTAGAGGTACAGATGATGTTGTAGCAGGTATCAGTACTTCATTATTTTATGTGGCTGAATAATATTCCATTGTATGGATATACCACATTTTGTTTATCCATTTGTCTGCTGATGGACATTTGAGTTGTTTTCAGCTTGTAGCTACTGCAAATAGTGCTACTATGAGTATTATGTACAAGTATTTGTTTGAGTATCTGTTTTCAATTCTTTTGGGTATATATCTAGGTGTGGAATTGCTGGGTCATATGGTAGTTCTATGTCTAACTTGTTCTCATTGCTTTTTAAATGGACTTTCAACCAATCCTCTTATTTTGGACCCACCCTTGGCCTTCCTAATATACTTCCAAAGGTACTTGGTAACATTTCCTAAAGCATTAGGGGTTCCACGATCCCCACCAGGTTAGTTCTCTGTTTTCTACAATGCTGTCTTAGGATTCAACTTTCTCAGGTTGGCAAGGTCACTTATTACTCATGTGTCTGTTTTATAGCTTTAAAATTTGTTGCTGTTGGGCCGGGCATGGTGGCTCACACCTGTAATCCTAGCACTCTGGGAGGCTGAGGCAGGTAGATCACTTAAGGTCAGGAGTTCAAAACCAGCCTCTGTAAGAGCGAGACCCCGTCTCTACTAGAAATTAATTGGCAAACTAAAAATATATATACAAAAAATTAGCCCGGCATGGTGGCGCATGCCTGTAGTCCCAGTTATTCAGGTGGCTGAGGCAGAAGGATTGCTTGAGCCCAGGAGTTTGAGGTTGCTGTAAGCTAGGCTGACACCACAGCATCAGAGTGAGACTCTGTCTCAAAAAAAAAACTTGTTGCTGTTACCTCTTCTTCCATTCTTTTGTCCTAGTGTTAAAACCTTCATGCTATCATTTTAATAAAATTTCAGAAGGGAATAAAGGAATGAAATGTATACTCGAATCTCTTGTTTTAAATCTGAAATCCATAATAAACATTTTAATATTATCCATCTATGAATCTATCTATTTAATTTAAATGCCATGTAAAATGTATTTATTGTGGGGGATATAAGCATATATAAAGACACCTTCTGTTTTCAATAAGCTGATAAACTGGCTAGGGAGATGTAGTAATATGAGAGCCATTTTCTTACTTATTTTTAACACATATATGAATGTTGAGGTTCTGTTATATTCTGATATATATACTTATAGAGGGTTTAAAGGTAAATCCACACCTATAGGTGGCTCAGATCTCAAATAAAGTATAAAGTCATCCCTGGAATCAATCACTAAGGAAAAGAAAGATTTCTAGTCAGACACAGGAATTGAAAAGGAAGTGGACCCTAAAAAACCAAGAGTAGAGACTTAAACTTCTTTGAATATTGGCCTCCAAGACCAGATTTTAAAGACTCAAAGTGTCTAGGTAGGTGTTTTGAGTTGAAATGAATTAAACATGGTCACTAACACATAAAAGGATGCTGAGACACAGAAGGAAGGCACACCTACAGTGAATTAATCACAAACCGAAGACACACAGCCAGACTTTGAAATCAAAATAATTAGAACCACAAAATGATTCTTCACTTTATTATTTTCTATTTTCATAGAGTCTTGTTGGAATGTTATAATCTTGTCTCACCCTATAATACTGTGACAATTATGCACCCACATGGGCCAGTGGTTAAGAAGAAACAGCAGTCTGTTAAGCAGTGGGAGCCCTGAGAGATTGCTACCTCTCAGAAAATATGGTCCAAATATTATTTTCCAACACTCTGTTGGAAGATATCCTTTCAGTGCCAACTTGAGAAGTTCTGCATTTTATTTTTTTATTTAAAAAGTATCTTTTTATTATAGAAGTTAGGTATGCAAATATGTACACACTTACTGGCTGTATAGCCTCTTTAAGCCTTAGTTTCTTCATCTATAAAGTGGGAATAATAATACATGTCTCACAGGGCAATTGTTAGGATAAAATTAAGTAATCCTGATAATGTATTTATCACAATGTTTCACATATAATAAGTGCTTTAAAAAATTAATACTTGTTCTGATAAGGTAAATGTTCATCAAAAAAAAGTAATAAAATATTTTAAAATTAAAATTAAAAAAAATTAATATTAGCAGCTCCCACTATGACTACTACTGCTATTACAGGGCAAGCACCAAAAGAGCACATGGTATGGAGGTAGAAACAATGCTGAGCTGAAGTGATAAGAAAAAAATTCAAAGGAGAAGCAAGATTTTGAGCTGCAATTTGAATTTGAGAAGATGATCTTTTTAGACAGGAGACTGTGTCACGGAACAAATAATTGAAGGGAAATTACAAGCTCTTTTGGATGTAAGAAAGTTTTTAGTTTTTGATTAATGTAAAAATTTTCAAATTTATATCTTCAGGTATAGATCTCAAGGATAGCCAATGAAATCTGTTAAGAATATTTAAAGAAAAATTTGAAATAAAAGGTCTATTACTAACATAGTCGTCTAAATATCCACCTATTATACAGAAAAATTTTCTGACCAGATCTAGTATTTTGTTTTCACTAAATGTATCGAAGTCTCTCAATTTCTTCACACACAAGATTTTGACTATCTCACATCGCAGAAATCAAAGCAATCAAATACGACTAAAATCAAAGCAGGCTGTTTTAAGGAATATTATCACTAAATGACAACTTCTATTAGCAAGACAAGAGAGCCTAATCATTTGATAAATACTTAGAAATAAACTGAAAGACTGTGTATATTCATACATTGGTGCTACAAATATTTTTGTTAATCTATTACTTTTTGTGAACAAAAGACTTTAAACTTTATATCTTATAACAGTAATAACAGATCTTAGAGTATTTTATTACCTTTATTATTAAACTCTCTGGCATTTAATTTTACTAAAGACTTTTTGGGTTAATTTTCCACTATACTTCAGAATACTATGCAGTGTTGTTTAAAAACAGTATAATATTCTTCCTCTTCTTTTACATAATTCCAATTATTAGTCCAATTAGCCACTTTCTTTCTATTTCTAATATGCCAACTCTTACGAATGTAGTACATCTTTTAAATTTTCTTGGATATTTAAAATATTTTGCTTGCCATACATGCATGTCCAAAATATCAAAATCACATGCTTTAGTGATGGCCCATAGTTTCTTACCTGCACTTCTCAAATTAGGGTCCAGCCCAGGCATCTCTTTGTTAGCTTCAGGGCTGACACTGTAGATTGATGCTCCTGCTTCACTGATGATACTGAGAAGAAAGAAAAGGGAAAATGCCATTTTCTAAACTTTCTGCCTGGCCAAAGAAAATAAATGAATAAAACTAGGTATTACAAGAGAAAAACCAGCAGGACAAGGTACTCTCTTCATATTGCAATAATATCTACAGCATCTAATATTTCATTAATATAAAGTGGTTAAGCAATGTTTGTTTTCTTCCTGTAGGAACTACATAGGCTTAAATCCATGATGAATTCATTCAGCTGTTTTCTCTGACACTGTTAACAAGAGATGGGTTATAGATGAACACAATGAATATTTTCCCATCATGCCAACTTCAAAATTTTCAGAACACACTTAGCTTCTCCTGTGCTTATAATCCATTATTGACTGACATTTATAGCACCCATCTGAATTAATCATTCAAAAGCATCTTGGAAAGCATATAGATATATGTGTGGATATATGCACGTGTAGACATACAAAAAAACCACTGTTACGAACACTGCTATTATTATTATCTTATTATAATTAGCAACAGCAATGTGAAAAAGAAAGGGATCAGATAGGATGTCATCTCACTTCTTTTTAGGAGTGTCTGAAATCATTCTTTCAGTGAACCCAAAGCCTTTCACTTCAGGTAGGTGTTAAACCATTTCATCATTTATTTAATCAAAGCATCACACAAATCATCCTTTTCTTTACTTTTTTGGCTCCAAACACTTTACAAACCACAATGGGAACACTGGCTTAAAGCTCACATTTGTATGGTGATTGATGTTTATTAAACATCAATCAAAATGTTTATCAAACATTTTAAAATTAGACTTCTCCTTTATGACATAATATACAAAGAAACAACATCTACCCTAAACATATACAATACTTATGGTGCTATACCATGTGACCATCTAGGTGTCAAAAACAAAAACATGTTAGAGCTCAATTTTTAATCCACTCTTAGCATTTTTTCCTTTTCTTTGCTCCTCAGTATTTACTTCAGTTACATGAGACAAGTTTAGTAGATAACTTTTAACGTATTGCCCCTTTGTAACAAGTGAACACAGAGAAGTAAAATGTGGAAAAATTAGTTTGCCACCCCCATCTTTGGAGAATTCTTGAATAAATTTTGATGAAAACTGTAAGCCACCAAAACTTGAGAAGATTACTCTAGGGAACATCAAGATTTGTCTTTCTGTAACCAAGATTTAGTATCCTAAATTTAATAATAGGAAAAATAAACACTATAACCAAACAGCAAGGCTGCTCATCCTGTTTCTCATCAACATTGTCATGATACAGTAAGAGGTAACTGAAGGCAAACTATATACAAAGTACAAAATCAAACACTTCACAGACATTATCTCATTTCATGGAGTAGGTTCTACTTTATAGGTAATAGGCCCAAGGTCATATAGCTGATACGCAACTGAGCTAGATTTGGACCCTAACCTGCTTGATTCCCAAGTCTGAGCTCTTAACCAGTACAACTAGGTAACTCCTAAATATTTTTGCAACCTCTCATTAAAATGAGAGCCCATGTTTTGTGCCAAACAACAAATGTAACATCTTATCTAAGGAAGAACTACTTTCTTAATCAACAGAACCATAAGAACTCATATCTCTCTTCCATTGCCTTCACCTTTGATCAAAAGATAAAGTGAGTTTTGTTTTCTTGAGTATGCAGAAGGTCAAATATGTTCTATAACTTCAGAGACCAACTTTAAAATTAAAAGGTAATTATGCTTTTTCTCCAAAATAAGATTTAGATTATGCTTATATTCTAATATATAATGATCAAAAAGAATATGTAATGTTAAATAAAGCTAGAAGAAAATTATTAGTATGGCATAATAATATGATGTTGAAGCTATTAATAACATATGTGAAGTGATTTTTCAGTTCTATTATAGCAGAATTTCCTAATCTGGGACCCCTGGAATACTGGGCAGGACGAGGCAGGATTAATTAGAACTATATGCAAAATGTTTGTGTGTATAGATACATATGTTTTTACCTAGGAAAAGGGGTTATAGTTTTTATCAATTACTTAAAGAAATCCATGACTGCCAAAAAGGTTAATAAACACCACCATAGGATAAGAATATTTAGTAACTAACTATAGAAAATTCAGTTTCAAATACAAATCAACACTCAGTCTAACAAAGTCTTTTCTAAAACACCAGACTATACATGAAGTACAGGCTGGACCTATTACTAAGAGAAAAAAATATATTTTAAAATCTCACTACAAATTTATTTTCTATCATTTCCAGAAGTCTCCAAAGTTACAACTATTTAAGTTACCACTATTAAGAGAACTTAAATGGTAAATAAAAATTCCAATTAACTGTGGTCTTTAGTAGTTGGGTACCTGAGAATTTGCTGGGCAATTCACTGTCTCTTGGAGGTTATAATTCTCAATAGACTGAAGGAAACTATTGCAAAGAAAAACACTCAGATAATAAATATTCCTCCAAATACCATACTGCCACTTCTTTTAAACAGAGGAATATAAAACAGATGTGACACATTGCACCCAAAGATTTTAGATTAACATTAATATTAAATCAATATAAAATGTAGTAAATTTCATATGCTTTAGTTATTGAACAGTATGGGTCCAATAAACAGTTCAGTACTGAGCATAGATCAGAAAGCTTAAATAATCTAAATGAACAGAAAAACCTCAACACTGATTACTTCAATATAAAACACATAAGGACCTAAGTTGTATATGTGGTAAGAATTAAATGAAACAAATCAAACTGGGAGTGGTGATGATTTTTTCCAGGAGAAGTTGTTAAGAACAAAAGCTATAATGCCTTCCTTCCCTTTTTTATTCATATTTAGAATTCAAGAATAGCCATTCATCAGAAATTATGCTAGATTTATAAGGCACTTTCTATTTAATGGGAAGTTTCCCAATAAACTATTAGGAAATTATTCCAATTATCTCTAATATATTTTGAAGAAAATAAAAATGATCTTGGTATAAAATTCATATATTTAATGATTTAATAAGTATTACATTTCACAAAACAAATTTCTCTCTGGTATAAACAAATTAGGCTCAAAAATCTTAGTAATTTGATTATTTTATGTATTTTGCCATTAAGCAGACAAGACTCTCAGCAGCATTTATTATTTGGAGGGATTTTTAACTGACACAGCTGTAAATGAACTAATATTTTAAGATTATTACAGTACTCTGAAGGCCCTTCAAATTGCTACAATTTAGACCAACACCTAAACAAATAAGAATAGCATCTCAAGCTTTAAACATATGAAAGTACATTTCAGAAGCTACCATCAGACTTATATTTTACTAGCTCTATATCTTAATACGCTAATTCTCTAGAATTAAATTAGTAATTTTTAAAACATTTTATCTAATTAAGCACAATTTCAGGAACTTTTTAGGTCTTTTTAAGACAACAGACCACACACTGATAATCTAAACAAATAAAATGCCTATAATATAGAGGTATTCACTTTTAAATTCATTTTAAAAATTTTTTATAAAAGCTCTATAAGTTAAAAATGCTAAATTTTATCTTAAGTAAAATGCAATGTTACTCACATAAAACTGATCATTAATATAATTTATTTTCTTTTAAAAAGATATGTGTTTAAATTACAAAATTGATATCTCCACAGTTTTTAAGTCTCTTCTATCTGACAGATTGTATGTTGATGAACTTTTTAAAACCAAGTTTGTAAGAGCTTTTCCTATAGTGACTATTTATTCTGACAGTAAGAAAATAGTGATTTGTTTTTTACCAAATTGAGATGGGAGAGTAGGATTCTTTTTATGAGTAAGAAAAACTAGCTTGTCTGTTTTTTTTGTTTTTTTTAAGTTTTTGGGCTAATAGTTTTCACATTCATTTACAAGGTTATGTGAAGTCTCTGTTATGACTCTCCTGCCCTCTATCCATTTTCCAAATACCAAAATATCTTTATTGTTTTTTCTGATCTTAAATTACATGCTTCTTTGTGCTAACAGGAGAATTTAATTCAAAGTTAATTACTTAAAAGAAAATGCAGTTATTTAAAAATCAACCAGGATGCATTTACTTAATCAATACAGAATGATATGTTTTCAATTCTTTACAAAAGTATACTAAAATTCTTCAGGCTCTATTAATATCTAACATCTTCCTCTTTTCTTTCCTTCTGCCTTCCCCAAAATAGGTATTTAGCTATTATGCTAAATGCCTTGCTTATTACTTTAAAGTTTTAAAAATAATTTATATACAAACTGTTCTTTCAACTTTTTAGACTACAAACATTCATATCAAGAGAGGTTAAATGATTTGTCTTAAGTTTCTCAATAAGTAAAAGAAAGCATTAAAAATATTAACCAACACCTCTTTTAAGAAAATCTTAATTCATTGCATATGAGTTAACCAGTTCTGAAGTATGAAAGAATGAATCGTTGTTTGTGTTTTAGGGATAGGAGACAAAGCCAAAAATCAAATTATCACGAGTAGAAAGGCCTCTAGAATTTAATGCTTAAAGGATACAGCTTATTTCTAAGAAAATATCAAAGCAATTTTAAATTGCTTTATTTAACAATCAATAATCATATCAGGGAGTCTTAAATGAGCAATATCTAGTCACTTTTAAAAATTAATTTAGTTACCCTCCCAAAGGCAATATAAAAAAAATAAATAAATAAATAAAAAAAATAAAAAAAATAAAAAAAAAATTAATTTAGTGATGAAGAGGATACAAAGAAACAAGCAAAATCATATATTGTTAAGCTGTTTAAACTATAGAACTATTACATGGTGATCTGAAAATTGGATCAAAAGTCACAAAAATGTACATTCTCTCTGAACCAACTATCACATTTTTAAGAATTTATATGAAAGAAGTCTAAAAATACACAAAAAATTAAACAGCACTATTCATCATAGCACACTTGTATGTGACTGAAAGAAACTAAAAACCAAAATGCCTATCATTAAAGGGTTCATTAAACTATGCTGTCATTAAAAATTATTATTTTAAAATATCTTGATCTCA